ACAGGATGAGCTTCCACGATGTATGTCACTCCCCTCCTTTCACTATTGACTGGAAAAGCCTTCAATCGATCCCAAACCATGAACAATCCAATATACCATAGTTAACCCATATACAACCCCCGTCGACGGAAAAAACAAACAGCTGGCAACGAGCGATGTATGTCGTAAACCCCTCTCAGAAGACGCTCAACGATCCTAATGCCGTCACGGTCCCAAGAAACAAAGGTCGCGAATCCATGGCGTACCTCTCCTACATCATCGACAACTACGGTAATCTCCCCCCGCACCATCGGCTTCCTCCACGCGCATCGCTCTGGCTTCTTACAGGCATGGCACGTCGATGCGCCGCTACACGACAACGTCATCGCTATGCGTACTCTCCGGATCTACGTCTAGTACAACGGATATGTTAATCTGCGCTGTAACTGGAACCCCGGCTGCAAGAAGGAGCACAGGATCAATCTACATGTGACCGACGAGGTGTGGATGGAGCTTTTCTCGGGGACAAGCACCCCGCCGCAGAATCGGTCGGCGACGACGGCAGAGGGAGGAAGGAGAGGAGGGACTTCAGCAGACACAGACAACGATGCTAACCGTTCCTTACTTCAAGCACAGATAAACCGACGGAGATGGCGGCAGCGTGCTGCGCGCAGTTTGCCGTGTCGCGCGACCACGTTCTCAAGAGGCCAGTGGAGGATTACATGCACTTCCGCGACTGGGTTACGGCGACGGAAAAGAATGATGCGAGTAGTGGTCACGTCATGGAGTACATGTGGCATATAATTTTTGTGATGGATGCTGTGTTGTAAGTTATTCCTGTTTATGTTTTATCATATTTCCCAGATGCCCGCACCCATGTATATTTCCTCCCTACCGTCTCATCAGCAGGCTGTTTATTTCTTTTTTCCTGTCGACTAACGCCGTATATTCGTTCTCGAAAAAATAGCTGCCCCGACGAACACCTCTGCTACTGTGCAGTTTACGGACGATGCAAATGACAGGCAGCCAAAGCAGACACTCGGCGGATAAATTATGTAAATTATCATATCTTCAATAATAATCATAATCGTAATCATAAACAGGCAACCTTGCGCCAAGGAAAGGGGATGTTGAGCTTCGTCATGGTCGAGAAGCTATTTAATCATGGAATTATCAGGAACCTCTGGGTGTTGAGATATTCTCTTTTTTGTCCCTTTTTCTCCCCTTCCTCTCAATTCACAATCAATTATCCTTTGCTTCTCTCTCTCTCTCTCTCTCTCTCTCCTGCCGCCATTGAACTGGGATATTTGATTTTTATTTTTATTTCTACCCCGCCTGGTTTAGCGCAGGTACCTCGCATTGCCACTCCTAACAACATTGGTAACAAGAATAATAACAGTGATAAAAATAGCAATAGCAATTGAGGCAGATCCACCTAATTGACAACAAAATGAGCTGGACACCCAATGGATACCAGGAGCAGATATGCCGGTGGTTAGTGACGGACGGAGTGGCTGGCGGCTGCGGCATGGAAGATGGGAAAAGTCATCTTGAGTCATAGTTAGTCAAGTCACTCTCTGTAGATAACGAACAGGAAGAATCAGGATCAGCGAAGTAACAGCACTCGCAACAATGCGGGCTTCGGATTTAAATCCAGCGATTCCTCACTCCGATTCTGATTCCCTGCG